CAAAGCTTGTGTTCAGAAAGAAGTAATTCATAATTTTAAAAATCACATTTTGGTCACGTGACCAGCGAGGAACTTACTCATTTTAAGAAAATGGTGCGGGTTTGAAAAACCAAATCACTATTATTATGTTTAAGATATGACAAACTAATCGTTTTTCGAAGGCAAACTCATATAGCTTTCATTTTCATAAAAACTATGTCACATGACCTCTTAGTGCAAATGGCCTATTGGATAGCCCCCCTTACAGAAGTAATGAAGTAGACTGGTGACTAGACAAATTGAGATGCGAAGCCGATCTAAAAAGCGCGCGAAAATGTGAGCGGGGCGCCTGGACTTCAATAACGGCTAAGGATATGTACAAAGACTGTCTAGATAGCGAGTGGTCGCTCTTCTTTCCTCCACGCAGGCCACGCACGGCGAGCGAAAAAGTTAAATTATGCAAAAAATGTTAAAAAGGAGGAAAGTTTGGGGCGTTTCTGACCTCGTTCCTCGCGGCTTCGCCGCTCGCCCCTCACGGTGTGCTCTATGCTTTCAGTCCACTGTGACTCAAAAGAACAAAAAGATTCTGCTTGCAACCTAAAGACTGTCTAGTACTTAGTAATAGGATTTTAGATGTCTGAGTAATTTTTGGGCGAGAGGAGATTGGTTGCATTTCGGAATCTTAAAGTTAAAATTTTACAGCTCGTGAGCACCCCCTTGAAAAAAGGGATAGTCACAAAGGAGAGCTCAGTGTATCGTCCCCACATAGGGCGTGTCCATGAATTAGCAGGACAACTATCACGGCTGTCAGGTTCATATTTTTCAATATTGCCAATACAAAGTGTCGTTATGCACTATGGATCTCGACCCTAGGAAAGAAATCATTTAAAAATGTTAAAACTACAGCTTCTTGTCCAACAAATATGCCTGTCTTCTAAGCGTTATATCAAACGTCAAAAAAGTCGATTCAAATGACCTTTCAAACAATCCATTTGGTGGTAGATTATTAGTACTACTGTTTGAATTTTGATACATTTCGTGACAGATTATTTAAAACAAAATTATTTCAGGGCTATTAACAATCCCACACACTTGTCTGACCATTAAAAACATAAAGGGACAAAGGTAGTAGAGATCCCATATCACAAGCTACAAGGTCGTCTTGACCCACCTGTGTTTCGGATGTAACAGTCACTGTTTTGACATTAGTGACCGTTACTTCGCAAGCGCTTCCCGTGCTGTTAGGATTAACAAGTTTAATTTCGTGCTTTGCATTTGGATCGCCAGAGCCCAGGAGGTCCTTGATCGTCTCGTTGTAAATTTCCAAAAAGCTGGCCTCGGTGGTGTACTAGAAACGGAAGGGAAATAATCAGCATCAACAAGTCAAAAGACTCAATTGTGTTGATTGCGGTAATACTGTTGTATGGTACCTCAACACATTGTACTCTTTTTCTACTAAGTAGTTACGAACTGGTTTCTGTGTCAACTATTGTAAGCGCGCTTGACTAAGGGACTAAGGGTGGATTTCCACTGTCGTGTTTTTTTTACCAGTGTATGCACGTAAATTTTACGCGCGTAAATAAAGCATAAGCAATGTTTGGAAGGTCGCGCTTGCACGTAAAAGTTGAACCTCGCTCAACTTTTACGCTCACGCGCGTATATTTTACATGCAAACAGTAGGATTCCACCTAAATGCAGTAGGTGTTGTACAAGGTCAATAATTACGTGCAGTAATCAGATATATGAACTGGGGATAAAACATGGGTGGTAGTTTTGATTATCGCCGTAAATTTTCCGACGACCTCTGCGCTTTTTCCTCATCCGTACAGCACCATATTAAACTTATCACTACAAGGATTGAAACCTTCGCTCACAAATGCGGTTGACTGTTTGTTAAGTTTAATTTTCGCTGCGAGAAAAGACGAGAAATGTCATGGCAGGGATGTAACCGCATTGCCTTGTCATTTCAAAAACCTACAGCAAATGGTACCCTAAAACGAGGAAGAATCGAACTCACATAAAACATGTATCCTGGTTTAAAAGTTTTAAAGACAGGAGCTGACAAAAAATAGCATTTAGCAAGAAGAGGAAAGTGTGCGTCATGTAGCTATCAGTAAGATACCCTTTTCCGGTTGAACGCACGATGCGTCGACGAACTGTATGCAAGGGAACAACATCGGTTTTCAAGGCAATATTTTTCTTGCTTACCTGCCAGCCCTTTTCTTTGAGGTCCTGTGATGTCCTGAACACCTGTTCCAAGGCCCTTGGGATCATCCCCTGTTTTTTAGGGTCCGCAGTGTTCCCTTCCATCGTGTAAGTTTTCCCTGAGCCCGTTTGACCATAGGCAAATATACACACGTTATAGCCATCGAGAGCGGATTGGATTAACTGTGAAATTTCACCGAAAACATCTTCTTGACTTGAAGACGGGTTAAACACTCTATCGAAAGCGAATTCGTGTTTTGGTGGGGCTTTTTTAGTTCCGCAAATACTCTGTGGATTGACAACATAAATAAATATGAGTGTGTATTACTAAAGAACCAACATATGGCAACCAGGTAGGGTTCGTACTCTCTTGAGCACTTCAAATTGTTAATTCCATGACTCTCCAAAAGAGTACAAACCCATTCTCGACCCCAGTGCTTACACGCGCAGAAGAGCTCTGGGTCGAGATTAAGTACAAACCCTAAACCAACCTCCAGTTTTTAAACAACTTCGGTTTAGCTGTTACTTTCGAAATTTTTCAAATTATTCTTGTTTTTGGTGACTATTTTTTACGAAACTCAATTCAAAAGACACACACTCTGGTGTCCACCAAAGCGCGTGCCGTTCGCGCTGTTTCATTGCTTGTCCTTCGCCCTTGCTTTGACATCTGCAGTAACTAATCTACCAAACATAACTTCAATTTTCCATGAGTTCTCAGGCGTGGAATAAGAAATTCTTAAATTTATTGACCTTCCTGGTTTTCCATGGTAGAGGTCTTTGCCTTTTAGCTGAGCCGGTTAACTGCTCGACAAACTAAGCATAATAGAGACGACGATTGTTTATGCCGGCCCTAAAACTACTCACGGCTTTCATAGATAAAGACTATTTTAAACTAGTAAGAGCGCTTGTGACTTTCATTAGTGGAAATTAAAAATCGGAGTCGTAAGCTTGACGGAATCAGAGTCGGAAGAATCAGAACTTGTTTATATCTTTAATTTTCTTCCGACTCCGCTGATGACTAAGTAAGAATAACGAGATCGTTGAAGTTGAAAGCAGAAGCGGGAGGATAAAGTAAAAACCAAGCCACGTTTTAAGACTGGTTTAGTTATTTCGCTTCATAAGTGATAGAGTCAGAAACGGAATCCGTACGCTTTTTTCACGAGATCATAAAGCTTACCACTTCTGACTACGACTTCGACGCCAAGCAAAATCGTTGCAATGGTTTGTACAAGACGGTTGATGCGTTCCTTGGGCAGCGCTGTTATGGGCATCAGAAACAAGGAGTGGGTGAAATGATTTACGGCATACATTTTTGTTGCATATCATTTCTCATATCGTGTTAACCTCGTAGCCAAGGCTCAAAATTTCTAAAGGAAAACAAAAGCTCTGAGGACGAGTTTGATATCATGTCTCACCTCATTCGCCGAGGTTGATTCTATCGCCAGTTCCCTCTCGTCTTGCGCAAAGGAAAATGCGCATAACCGCTGGCCTTCCTCGGAAGTAAGCACGGGCCTCACCCGACAAAACACCCGGATGTTACCCTTGAGTTCCTGTATCGTGTTATGGAGTTCGCGACGGATGGTTTCCTCGGAACGGAGTTTGGAATCCAGCGAGGCCACGTGGCTTTGAAGTTCCCGTACTGTATCTTCGAGTTTGGCAATCGTTTCACTTTTTTGCTGACTTTCGTCTGCTGCTCTTTGTTGGCCAAAGCCATGATAACATTTCCGAGGTTACTCAAACTCTTGTTAATACTCTTCGTTTCTCGCAACCGATCCCCAGTGGAACCCGAACTGCTCAAGCGTTCGGATCCCGCCAGGTCAATAAGGTTCAAGGTCCCTGCAAATTAAGGTGAGTACATGGTAAATCGTCTGGACAAACAGTGAAAGATAAAATAAACGACAATAAACTCTAGGATAGTAAAGTCCTAGCTTAGTCTCGTCGACATACATGGCGCTATATAGCCTGTTCACAGACCCTCTGTTTTCTTTTAAGAGATCGTCGAGCGTGCGTATGAAAATAGAATCCGCGAGGGATTTATTGACAGCTACCGCAATTTTCGATTAGAAAAAGAAAACAACGCCTGTGTACAGACTAGGAGCTATTGAAGAAACATTATTCGGGAGCACAAAAACCTTAGTTGTGGAGAGTGGTGGATAGACGTGCGAAATAGAGCAGGAGAAAACATCTCGACCCGCAATGCATGTATTGAACTATTACTACACTTAAATATTGTTAAATAGTACAGAGGGGGTTTTAAAACGATTCTTTATTGTCTGGTTAGAGTCGAGCTAAGTGTTTCAATAAGAGAATCTTTTTATCATTATATTAATTGCATGTCCAAATCAGCGTGTAGTTTGAAAGAGAGACTGTCTCTCGCCTTGCCGCCCATTTGGTGGGGGAGGCAAAGAGACGGACGACATTTCAGACTAACTCAGCGTGGTATACCTTGGCATTTTTCACCGGTGAGATGATTTTCACCAACGAGCTTCAGTCTAAAGACGCTGTGACTTCGTGAAGAACGCTCATTGCATTGTGTGGCGGCTACAGCTCTGTTTTGAGTCGCTTTCTCCAATAAACTGTACACCTGTAACAAAACCGACACAAACCAATACGAAAATCCAGCTTAACTTCATCAATCAATGTGAAGGAGAATAAAAATGTAAAGTGGATAGCCCCCCTTGCAGAAATAATGAAGTAGACTGCTGACTGCCGGAAATGCCTTATACATAGAAATAATGAAGTAGACTGGTGACTAGACAAGTTGAGATGCGAAAGCCGATCTAAAAAGCGCGCAAAAATGTGTAGACCACCAGCGGTCGTCCTTCTTTCCTCAGAGCCACGCACGGCGAGCAAAAAAGTTAAATTATGCAAAAAATAGTAAAAAGGAGGAAAGATTGGGGCGTTTCCGCCCTCGTTCCTCGCGGATTCGCCGCTCGCCCTTCCCGTATACTGTGCTCTGGGTCTACTGTGACTCAAAAGAACAATAAGAGACTGCGGCTCACAGTCTAAGGACTGTCTAGTACTCAGTAATAGGATTTTAGATGTCCGAGTAATTTTTGGGCGAAAGGGGTTGCATTACCCTTACATAGAGGAAGCAGCAAAAGAATGGTGCAAAGCATTTCGGAATCTTAAGTTAAAAATTTACAGCTTGTGAGCATCCATTTGAAAAAAACATGGTCATGAGTATATAGGACAGGCTAACAATCCTTTCATGACTTAACGCTTTTAAGTTCTGGAAAAGAGAAAAGAGAATAAACTAGGTTCAAGTACTGCGAAGGACTGGCCAGACTGAAAAACTGCAAGACACAAAGGAGAGCTCAGTGTTTCGTCCCCACATAGGGCGCGTTCATGAATTAGCAGGGCAACTTTTAAAAGGGCAGTGTCACGGCTGTATGGTTAATTTTTTCAATATTGCCAGTACAAAGTGTCCTTATGTACTATGGATCTAAACGCTAGGAAAGAAATTATTTATAAATGACAAAACTGCAGCCTCGCGTCCAACACATATGTCTTCTAAGCGTTATATCAAACGTTTAAAAAAAATCGAAAATGAACTTTCAAACGCTCCATTTGGTGGTATGTTAAGTAATACTGTTTGAATATTGATACATTCCGAGACACAGATTGTTTTAAAAAAAATATTTCAGGGCTATTAACAATCCCACACACTTGTCTGTCCATTAAAAACATAAAAGGACAAAGGTAGTAGAAATCCCGTATCACAAGCTACCAGGTCGTCAACCCACCTGTGTTTCGGATGTAACAGTCACTGTTTTGACATTAGTGACCGTTACTTCGCAAGCGCTTCCCGTGCTGTTAGGATTAACAAGTTTAATTTCGTGCTTTGCATTTGGATCGCCAGAGCCCAGGAGGTCCTTGATCGTCTCGTTGTAAATTTCCAAAAAGCTGGCCTCGGTGGTGTACTAGAAACGGAAGGGAAATAATCAGCATCAACAAGTCAAAAGACTCAATTGTGTTGATTGCGGTAATACTGTTGTATGGTACCTCAACACATTGTACTCTTTTTCTACTAAGTAGTTACGAACTGGTTTCTGTGTCAACTATTGTAAGCGCGCTTGACTAAGGGACTAAGGGTGGATTTCCACTGTCGTGTTTTTTTTACCAGTGTATGCACGTAAATTTTACGCGCGTAAATAAAGCATAAGCAATGTTTGGAAGGTCGCGCTTGCACGTAAAAGTTGAACCTCGCTCAACTTTTACGCTCACGCGCGTATATTTTACATGCAAACAGTAGGATTCCACCTAAATGCAGTAGGTGTTGTACAAGGTCAATAATTACGTGCAGTAATCAGATATATGAACTGGGGATAAAACATGGGTGGTAGTTTTGATTATCGCCGTAAATTTTCCGACGACCTCTGCGCTTTTTCCTCATCCGTACAGCACCATATTAAACTTATCACTACAAGGATTGAAACCTTCGCTCACAAATGCGGTTGACTGTTTGTTAAGTTTAATTTTCGCTGCGAGAAAAGACGAGAAATGTCATGGCAGGGATGTAACCGCATTGCCTTGTCATTTCAAAAACCTACAGCAAATGGTACCCTAAAACGAGGAAGAATCGAACTCACATAAAACATGTATCCTGGTTTAAAAGTTTTAAAGACAGGAGCTGACAAAAAATAGCATTTAGCAAGAAGAGGAAAGTGTGCGTCATGTAGCTATCAGTAAGATACCCTTTTCCGGTTGAACGCACGATGCGTCGACGAACTGTATGCAAGGGAACAACATCGGTTTTCAAGGCAATATTTTTCTTGCTTACCTGCCAGCCCTTTTCTTTGAGGTCCTGTGATGTCCTGAACACCTGTTCCAAGGCCCTTGGGATCATCCCCTGTTTTTTAGGGTCCGCAGTGTTCCCTTCCATCGTGTAAGTTTTCCCTGAGCCCGTTTGACCATAGGCAAATATACACACGTTATAGCCATCGAGAGCGGATTGGATTAACTGTGAAATTTCACCGAAAACATCTTCTTGACTTGAAGACGGGTTAAACACTCTATCGAAAGCGAATTCGTGTTTTGGTGGGGCTTTTTTAGTTCCGCAAATACTCTGTGGATTGACAACATAAATAAATATGAGTGTGTATTACTAAAGAACCAACATATGGCAACCAGGTAGGGTTCGTACTCTCTTGAGCACTTCAAATTGTTAATTCCATGACTCTCCAAAAGAGTACAAACCCATTCTCGACCCCAGTGCTTACACGCGCAGAAGAGCTCTGGGTCGAGATTAAGTACAAACCCTAAACCAACCTCCAGTTTTTAAACAACTTCGGTTTAGCTGTTACTTTCGAAATTTTTCAAATTATTCTTGTTTTTGGTGACTATTTTTTACGAAACTCAATTCAAAAGACACACACTCTGGTGTCCACCAAAGCGCGTGCCGTTCGCGCTGTTTCATTGCTTGTCCTTCGCCCTTGCTTTGACATCTGCAGTAACTAATCTACCAAACATAACTTCAATTTTCCATGAGTTCTCAGGCGTGGAATAAGAAATTCTTAAATTTATTGACCTTCCTGGTTTTCCATGGTAGAGGTCTTTGCCTTTTAGCTGAGCCGGTTAACTGCTCGACAAACTAAGCATAATAGAGACGACGATTGTTTATGCCGGCCCTAAAACTACTCACGGCTTTCATAGATAAAGACTATTTTAAACTAGTAAGAGCGCTTGTGACTTTCATTAGTGGAAATTAAAAATCGGAGTCGTAAGCTTGACGGAATCAGAGTCGGAAGAATCAGAACTTGTTTATATCTTTAATTTTCTTCCGACTCCGCTGATGACTAAGTAAGAATAACGAGATCGTTGAAGTTGAAAGCAGAAGCGGGAGGATAAAGTAAAAACCAAGCCACGTTTTAAGACTGGTTTAGTTATTTCGCTTCATAAGTGATAGAGTCAGAAACGGAATCCGTACGCTTTTTTCACGAGATCATAAAGCTTACCACTTCTGACTACGACTTCGACGCCAAGCAAAATCGTTGCAATGGTTTGTACAAGACGGTTGATGCGTTCCTTGGGCAGCGCTGTTATGGGCATCAGAAACAAGGAGTGGGTGAAATGATTTACGGCATACATTTTTGTTGCATATCATTTCTCATATCGTGTTAACCTCGTAGCCAAGGCTCAAAATTTCTAAAGGAAAACAAAAGCTCTGAGGACGAGTTTGATATCATGTCTCACCTCATTCGCCGAGGTTGATTCTATCGCCAGTTCCCTCTCGTCTTGCGCAAAGGAAAATGCGCATAACCGCTGGCCTTCCTCGGAAGTAAGCACGGGCCTCACCCGACAAAACACCCGGATGTTACCCTTGAGTTCCTGTATGGTGTTATGGAGTTCGCGACGGATGGTTTCCTCGGAACGGAGTTTGGAATCCAGCGAGGCCACGTGGCTTTGAAGTTCCCGTACTGTATCTTCGAGTTTGGCAATCGTTTCACTTTTTTGCTGACTTTCGTCCAAAGCTTTTTGTAAAGAAACCTGGGAAGATAAACAATGATCTGTTTTTTCTTTCCGTGTTTGGAATTCCTATTTAACGCTAATAAAGTTTGAACTGTTTCGTGACGTAATTGCAACCTTTTGTGAGGCCGCAAGAGAAAAGAAATTATATTATTGATTTCTTGACGCTTTTTTATTTCACCTGAAATTGATAGATATTTGCGTCGAGGGGGTGGCTAAACACGGGCCTGGCGCATGTATTGTGTAGAATTTACGTTCAAATGTGCTTCAAATCTCAGCATTTAAGACTACGGAACAGGCGCCTTCCTTTTCGGCCTATAAAATAGTCTGTGTGCAAGCTCTCTAGCGCGAGAACGCGCGGGCGAGTGGCGAAGCCGTGAGGGGCCTGGAAGGAAAAGGAGAACATTGCACTCCCTTTCTCTTCCCGCCCCTCGCTGTTACGTCTCCTTTCGCGGGCAGCCCACGCGTGCCTTCCACGCCCATCTATGAATAGATGCATGTGAAAGAGTCTGTTTAGTGTTTTACTGATAACGATTAAGGCCCGGAGGGGGCGCAGCATTCACACTAAAAAGCTACAAGTTCATAAACAGACAAACACTACCTTGGTCGCCTGTAATTCTGTGGTTATTCCCAATGAATCTGCTGTCATTTTAGCGACCGTAGATTTTAAAGCCATGACTTCTTGTTTAGAGATGTTGAGTTCGTTCTTAATGGACTCCTTCTCTTGCTGAAGGTTTTTCTTAGCTCTCTTTTCCACCTCTATTTCAAACTCGTGTTTTAGTTGAAGCGATCGTATTTCCTCTTCCGCGTTGTTGATTTTCACCTGAAGATCCAGAATCTTCGCTGCGGCCTGTGAAAGGAGCGAGTACAGGAATTTCTGTTATCGATCAAAATTTTGGCCATTTCTTGGCTATTAGTCTAACTCTGAGAACATTTCCCGTGGAAAATGGTAATTTTTTCCCATACAAATGACAGTTGTAGTAATCTCTAACTTGGTGTTTAGATTCCTTACGCCCCAACGTCTCTCGCTATCTTACCCACCTGCCGGGTAGTAGTAGTAATTAATGATAGCACACTCTTATAAATGACTAAGGGTTGATTTCCACTGTCGCGTAAAGTTTACGCGCCTGAATAAAATAGAGGCAATGTATAAAAGGTCGTTCGTAAACGTAAAAATTGAGCGAGGTTCAACTTTTACGTTTATGCGCGACTACCCATACAGTGCCTCTATTTTATTTACGCGCGAAAATTAACGTGCGTATCCAAATCATTTTTTTCTGTCTAACGACTAAGGGTTGATTTCCAGTGTCGCGTAATTTTACGTGCGTACGTGCGTAAAATTTACTTTCACAAATAAAATAGAGGCAATGCATGAAAGGTCGCTGGTGAACGTAAAAGTTGAACCTCGCTCAACTTCTCTTTAAAGTTCAGCACTTTTTATCTTGCCTCTATTTTTATTTACGTGATTAAAAGTGCCTTAAAGTGCGTAGCCAAAACGCGTTAGTGGAAATCAACCCTTAGAGGGATTCTTTTAAAGTGTTGAGTAGAAATATACGTAATCGTTTATAACTCCCAACTTAGGACGAGAACATATCACTTGCAATAGAACAAAACTCCATAAAAACTTAACTCATTCGCACATTACCTTAAAAACGCGGGAAATCAACGTTCCATTCAGGCAAAGCAGATAACGATGGTGAATAAAACTAACTTCATATTTAGTTTCGTTTTTGAGTTGGGAGGTCAGAATAACCGTAAACAGTGCGTTTTTTCCTCAAGACCCTGGAATAACTTTTCTTCCTGACATTTCCGTGATCGTTTTATAACCCTGTGACCAAAATATGGTGCGGGATTCGGGAAAACGCAAAATTTTTTTGCCGGGAAACGGAATTTGACCGCTTCTCGGAAAGTTTGATTCGCCAAAATCTTGGCACTGTAGGCGGTATCGGGAAAGACAACGGTATTCGGGACAGAGACGACAGAAATTCGGGAAGCGGGATTCTCGTGCATAAGAAGCGGGAATGCGGGATCGGTAGGGATCGGGACCCCCTCCCAGACCGTGGTATAGCAATCGATACTGATCTCACCTGTTCACTTTGCTGGTTTTTAACCTGCACTGTTCCCTCTAGCTGTTTATTCAAAGATTCCAGATAACCTATTCTACCCTGGTTATCGCCAATTGTTTTCGTCATGTCCTCCATACAGGAGTTTGACTTCAATAAGAACGCTTCCATGTCCTCTAATCTGCCTTTGTAGTCCCATGCTGGTCGTTTCTTTCCTGCAATGTAGTATTTTGTTTTAAACAAAATTGCAGTTCTGTATTTGTAAACCTCAGTGAATCCTGGGGGAACCAACAGCTCATTGCAATTTACTGGCTGTATTAACCCCTTTACTCCTTGACAATGTTTCGGCGAGAATCTATATGTCAGTCTAACCTTAAAATCTTTAGCCTGCGTACTTTGCGGTTCTTCTGTCGAGCGCGCAAATGAGCAGTGAAGTGGGGCGGCAACACCGTTGCTAGTTCGCGCGCGCTTTTGCAGCCTTTTTTCCTCTCCCCCCCTCCCCCCTCAAAAAAAACCACCAGCTACGCAGGCTATAAAGAGTTTGAGGACAAATCCTATGGTGTTTAATACCATTAAAATGGAAACACTCTGGCAGAAAATTTGCAGGGCGGCGCCTACATGATACATGTACAGGTTCTGTCTCCTCCTCAGGCGCTTCTAAGAAGAGAGGTAAAGCGCGTCTCGCCCGTCTTCCCCTTCTCGACTTCCTTTACGCGCAAATTTTCATCGGGTGAGAGAGACGTTTTGGTATGAGGCAGTGCTTTGGTTTGTTTTACAGAGAATATGGGGAGAAACGTGTGAGGATTACTGGTGGGGGATGACATGGGGTGGAGAAGAAGGGGTAGGAGTTCTCGAAGGGTGGGAAAGTCTATGGGTTAGGGCTGGAGTTTGGTCAGTGGCGACCAAAATGTTACATGCTATGTGGCTGTGTCTTTGTGTCTTTGTGTCTTTTTTTTTTTGTATAGCCACTGTCTTTTAAAATGATATGCTAGCCTATGACCAAATTATTATTTGGTTGTGTCTTAATCTTTATAGCCACAGAACAACAACAATGTAGTAAATATAAATACAATTGGAAAATGGGAAATATAAATGTATACTGACGTATATAGCTTATTAATGGTAAATTTTAAGGTTGGTGATATTAGGATATTATCAAATTTCTTTAAAATGGACCATGCTGATTTGGAATGGCCATAATTGTCTCTCAAAGGGGACTTCTGCGGCAGGATTAACTCAGTTGGTAGAGCACCTGATTGCAGAGCAGGAGGTTGTAGGTTCGATTCCCTGGGCTGGACCATTACTCAGCTGTGTCTTAAAATAACTGAAAGCAANTTTTTTTTTTGTATAGCCACTGTCTTTTAAAATGATATGCTAGCCTATGACCAAATTATTATTTGGTTGTGTCTTAATCTTTATAGCCACAGAACAACAACAATGTAGTAAATATAAATACAATTGGAAAATGGGAAATATAAATGTATACTGACGTATATAGCTTATTTATTAATGGTAAATTTTAAGGTTGGTGATATTAGGATATTATCAAATTTCTTTAAAATGGACCATGCTGATTTGGAATGGCCATAATTGTCTCTCAAAGGGGACTTCTGCGGCAGGATTAACTCAGTTGGTTGAGCACCTGATTGCAGAGCAGGAGGTTGTAGGTTCGATTCCCTGGGCTGGACCATTACTCAGTTGTGTCTTAAAATAACTGAAAGCAAGCAACTGGATCTTTGCGTGGCTTAGATGACCACGTAAAATGGTGGTCCTAGCTGTCTCCAGTAGGAGACATAAAAATAGTGTCCCCAATTAGTACTTTCGTGGTAAATACATTGACACTCAAATGAAGCGCATTTTTTTCTTTAAAGAGAGTAAAAAAAGGTACATGGAAGAGTGGTGGAAAGAGCAGGCTTGATTACCAGCCGCTGTCTGGGAAATGAGCCTACACTTTTCTGTCAGAAGGGAACAAGATAAGACTCGAGCTAAGTAATAAAAATTTTCACTAACCTATGAAGCCTTTTACAGGCTCATTAGCGGATGCCTTTGTATTGGAGCTTTTATTCACACTGGTGGGTGGTTTAGAGGCTATGGTCTGTCTCTTGGTAACGGATGACACCTGTCCTGTACGTGCCTGAGGTCCACCAGACGCAACATCCCTCCTTGCAGTTGTAGTGGCTGAAGTCTGACGCCTTAATGTTGTAGAGACAGCAGGCCTTGAATTTGCTGTTTTGGGTTGTGATGACAAGGAGGTTTGTGACGATGATCTTTTCATTTTTGGTGGAGGCTATTTTGTTTTATTCAAAAAGCTTCATTAGAATTTAAAGTGTTTAGTTGAGAGGAAGATTCCAGCAGTTATGAGCAACTGCCTTGCATGAGTTTGGTCCCACAAGGTAAAAATTACAAATAAAAACTAAAACTCATCTAACGCTGTTAATACCTTAGTACATGAATTGAGAATGACCAATCTCATGCAAATTGACAGTTGCTATTAATATTATTGAAATTATAAAAAAATTATGTAGACTTTATAGGAGGTCACATTAATTATGCAGTGAAAAGGTCTATAAAGTGGCAATTAGGAGATTTCTCTGGACAAAAAGTAGACTGCAAATAAAACACTTTCTTATACAGTCTTTAGTCATGAAATTCATTTACATGTATTTTAAACTGTTATTATTCAGTGCAGACTGAATTAATAATGAAAAATTTTTCTATTAGTGAAATTTCTTATGGATTATGTCGTTCATAGAGATTAATAAACTGCACAAATTTTGCTTAATATCAGAAGCCCGCGATGTAGCATTTCCTTCACTTTACGTGTGTAATTTTATACCTCAGAACTTGGTGGTTCAACTTTGGTCAATGCTTGTTCCCGTGGTCTTTTTATTGCTGATGGTGGTCTAAGTTTGCTGATAAATTGAGACTTCGCAGTTTGTTTACTGGCCATGATATTTTGATCTTGAGTTGCTAATGGTGATCGCTAAAAAAAAAATGAGCGTAAATTAACATTTAAATTGTCAAACATACACATCTGTTAAAAGACTTGTAGTTGACCATCAAAGAATTAAGAAAAGAACAGATTGAATCATCATTGTGACACAACGTGACATCCATTGAACTGGACGTCAGTCACGCCCAAATGGAAATAACATTTAACACTTTTACCCGCCCAAATTTCATCTCATTAAATTAATAATGACTGTCTAATTACATCCCCGTAAATATTACACATGATTGACTTGGCTAAGAAGTAACTTTGGTCAATCCCCTGCTAAAACTTACAACTTGTGCTTCTGTAGAATCCATGTTTACTGCTTCTCTTTTAACACTAAGGCTGGGTCTTTTAGCATAAAACCAGTCTCTGAAGAAATAATAGAGAAGACTCACGTCAGCACCAACAGGGAAGACTTCTAAACATTTGTTTATCATTTGTCTATTATAGCCAGGACCAGAGATAAAATTTGTGCATCTGTAGGAACTTAGCAGAGACTGTGTTGTTCACAGTGGTTTTGTTTCCCACTGTCCTGTGTCCCTCTACCTGCGAAAACAGCCGTTTGTCCTTGCTTCTCGGACGTTTCACAAGGAGGAATGCCTGCCACTCAGTGACGACAGAAATTCCACACTGATGACAAAAATCAATGTTTACATAATAAATCTGGTAGTCATGGGGTTCTAATTGCAAATTTGTTTAATTTTACGTTTCTTCTGGTTAATTTTGGAAAAGTGTTGTGTTCATCTGTGAAAAGTTCCAGCAAAACTCAACTGCTTCTTCCAGAGAAGAATATCACAGGAAAACATAACCGATTCCCATTTTTGGATATTTTAGGGTATTTAAAGAATACCCACAAAAATCCCAAATATGGAAGAGTGAGACAAGTCCCAACCAGGGAATTCCCAACCAAGTTCCCTGGTTGGGACTTGTCTCACTCTTCCAAATTTGGGATTTTTGTGGGTATTCTTTAATACCCTAAAATATCCAAAAATGGGAATTGGTTATTTTTTCCTGTGTATATATTCCACAAATATTGACTGTTTTGTTATGGATTCATTGCATTCACATTTGACTTTTGTGGCCTTTTGTCTGTCATTCGTAAACAATAGCTAAGGCAATGTAACTACTTTGTTGTCCAATCAGCACTTCTGACCGAATTCAGGACAGATTTTATGTCATCAGTAAGGAATTTGACACAAAAAAATTGCCCTGACATCAAGGTAAGAGTAACATGCATGAATATGTTACAGGAGTCATGTTGGTTCTGTCAAAGCTTTTTACCTTCGGATAGACCCAAAATTTACGTTTTACTATTAACTTTCATACTATTCATTTCAAAAGTTGTCAGAATAAACTCGGGGTGTGTTCTAGGCCAGTGACACACAGTTCAACATCTGCTGATCAACAAATGCAGTGCCCTTCTCTCGTTCAACAAAGTATGTTGAACATACATGTAGTTTGTTGAAAGATGATAGAGATAGGCTCTATTCCATTCATGAATGACAACACAGAATTAAGGTTGTAATCAACATATTTAAGAGTAAACTCAGTTTATATTCCCTTAATGCTTAGTTTTATCCACAAACCTGCGCTTATAAATTTCTGCATGTAAGCCTCAATTTCAAATGGTTTTAAAAAACAATCAAGCGCAGCAACCCTTATGATGTGATGCCTGGCCTAAAGCCTGGTTTCCATACATTTTGTATGATCGCTGCGATCGCTGGAAAATAGTTCAGCTATCGTGACGATCGCTGAGAAAGAACTTTTCCTATCTCAGAGATTGTTGTCGCTGCGATCGCTGGAGAGTGGTTTCTCTAAGATCTCTACGTTTTCAGCGATCGTAGCGATCGTAATTGGAAACTTAGCCGCATCTAAGTATCATATTTTAAACGAGAGAGCCACGTAAACATTCCTGTCTTTATCACAAGGTTACATCGAAAGAAATGGTCTTCTTTAAGTTCGTTTTCATGGCGAGAAAACATGCAGTAATGTAAGATTGGATCGACAGACTTCGAACTATCCGCGCACACAACGTCAAAACTATCAACATGGCCGAATGGTCATGCGTTTAGATCAAAGTACTTACCAAAACGAAGACAGAGATCCAAAAAGAAACTCTTAAAAGACTAATGATACAATTAAAGGAAATGTATAAATTCAAAACAAGAGGCGATGGAAAATCGCATAAAGGATCGACTCGTGGAATAAACGAACTGAATTTTCCTTCAGTGCCAAGGGCGATTTGATTGGTTGTTTGGAAATTTGAACTTCCCGCAGCCCGGCGCAAGGTAGTCTGGGTAACCACGGTGATTCGATTGGTGGTCATGGTCATAAAACGGCTTAAGCAGGTAGTTTCTTTTATTTTTTTGAAGTAGAAAAAATCAGTTGTTTTGAAAAAGGTTTAAAATTTCTATCGGATTAGGCCTGTAAGGAAGGTCGTTTTGGGGTCCATCAGCCACGCCCGGGAGACAAGACATCTAAGTTCATATAAACAGCAATATTCATTCCCATATGAGAAATTGAGGTTAGAAAAAGTTAAAGTTAAAGTTAATTTTTTTTTACGACAAACGAAACAATGAAACAATGTTGCAACGCTGTGTTAAAAATCGTCGTTGCGAATCGTCTCATGTAACATCACCTTTATGAAGAAAACATCAAACGAATTTCTTCCGGGAACACTAACAATTATAATCACGAGTGTTTTTGGTACTTTTAAAGTGGCTTCAGACTGACAGGAACACAGTTTAGTTGCCTAAACAAGGTCGTAAATAACAAAACTGGACCCTTAATTTTTGCAATTCAGATAATGCGGAAAAAAAGTTTTAGCTTTTTAAAAAGAAATCGAATGTCGTAATATAGCCCCTTTAATAAATGACAATGCCTTCAGTTTGAAACTACAAATTCAAGCATGCGCGGAATGCATATAACGTCAGCACGACTCAGCAATGATTTGAAATAAACGACAAGGAAGTTTAATTGAGAATGAGAACATTATATTCTACGCATTGCATAGTTTTCAGAACATTTCAGTATCAATTGCCGGTTACCGCCACTCGAAGGCCGCCTAGCAGCGCTGTCGCTCTTAACCCAGGGTTAAATTGAAACCGGGTTTCTTTTTCTTTTGTTCAAAAGTATTTTCTTGGATATTTTTTTTGTTATTTTGAACAGCATGCAATCATCAACTTGCTGACAAAAAGAATTAAGCTGAATTTACTTTTTAAGCTTTCATATCTAAATTCAAATTTCGCACTAACCCTGGGTTATCTTAACCCGGCTTTGAACAACCCGTAAACCAGGCCCAGTTGTTTACGTGCCATTTTGAAAGTAATCTAACCTCGGCTTAGTGTAATTATCGTCACTCAGCACGGAGGCATAGCCCAGCCGTGCGTTGCAGCCGGTCCACGTGTCGTCTAGACCATTATACAGTACTGCCAGCAGAGCCAGTTTCTCTGTTACATGGCTTTTAGCGTTTACGAAGTCGTTCGCGTGGCTTGTCTGTTGCGATCGACTTCGTAAACGCTAAAAACCCTGCAAGAGAGAGGGCCTCTGCTCGCAGTGAGTAATTATTGAGAAGGTTTAGAGTGTCTACGACGCAGGCTACGAAGGCATTGAAAACATAATATATGATTAATATATTAAGACACAGTCAACCTACTCATAAACAATTAAAAATTGCACGTCATCTTTAAAGCCCAGGCCCTGGGCTTTAAAGTAACTCTTTGAATTGAAGTGATAAGCGACGATTGTCTGGACTCTTCTTGTGCGTTCTGTTCGTGACCCTTTAATCTGAAAATGGGATACCCTAAATTTCTCACAGCTTTTTCTCGGTAATTCTTCCACAACTTTTAACCGCATAGGAAATTTTTTTGTTATCAGGTTATCACTTTTTATAGAATGAATTCAGCTCATATTTCATGAGTAGTTCGTATGTGGTGAGGCATATCGAGTTGGATGGCTACGGAAACACTGCTTAGCTTAGTCCTTGTCTCTCGGCCAGTGAAAAATTAAGTTCCATTAAGACTTACTGTATATAAAAAATAAATAAATAAATAAATTGAGAATTACTAGGGAGAATTTTGAGTAAAATTTGTTTAGTTTGCACGGAAGTCTGATACTACACTGAAGAATTGCCACAAGTCGACTTCACGAGCTTGAGTTTCAGTGGAGTGATCGAGCTCACAAGGAAGAGCTGAAACGAAGCCAATTCTTAAAACCGAACTTTTCATGGGACGAACCCTACATAGTGCTGATGAGTGACGAACAATAGACTCAGTGCCCCTTTTGCATTAGGTTGGCGACATCCAAAGAAATACTAATTGACCAATTCCGATCTATTAAAATTCACACTTGGCTGCCAGGCTTGGGGTATAAAAGACAAGAAATCATGATTTCTTTTATTCCTCCGAAGCCTCGGAGCCAAATATGGTCAAGTATGAATTTTAATATATCGAAAATGGTCTTTTCAGTTGCTATTATTTGACTCTTGAAACTGTCCGTGAAGCTTACTGTTTCTTTTAATACTGTGGCAGCGTTGTTTTGTCTAGCATTTCGACAAATTATAATCAGTATTGGCTCTTCGGTTTGATTTGTCTTCACCTACAGATTTTGGTAGAGTCGTGTTTGTTTCATGTTTACCTTGTAATTTGTGCAAAACCGTGAAAATGTATTGACTTCTGTATTATTCATTGCATTTTTTTTCCCAATAATATCCTTTTCTAGACTTTGCTGTCGTCCATTTTTTGGCCACAGAACTTTGTAGAATTTGTGAGCTTAGATTGAGTTTCTATCGGCCTGTGTCTGGACTAGCCACATAAAAAACTCTTAACAAACAGTGAATTATACTGCCTTTTAACATGTCGAATTTCACAAGAAATCCATTTCCAGGCTTGTTCTTAATTGAATTGCTTACTACCGGTGCTTGAAACTTACAAAAAGCCTCGTTTTTCAGTAACAAAACTTCCTTTGTCTCATAGTTTCTCTAGTATCTTCACACGTAAATGCAGTCGGCATCTTTATTGAACTCTATATTCTCACTTTATTTCCCCAGACGCTGAGGATAAAAGGCATTATTTTTCGGTATCTTAAGACTCATTTAGTAAAAGCCTTTGTTGTTTCCGAAAGAAAAATAGCCCCCTTTGCGATTGGTCGCTTAACAATAGGCAACAATTCTCCGTATTTGCCTGTAATCATCCTAAACCGCCAAATGCCTTGAAAAAAAGGTGACATCTGTTACTCTCTATCAGCCAATCAACGCGTTCGATTCAGACCCAATTTCCATAATTGGGCACATTGACAAAACCCGACAGAGAGGGGTTTGTTGTTTGTCGATCTATGCACAAGAAACATGGAAGGGCTATCGCGATGTGGCTTCGTGTTGTTGAGTTTTTCGTTGTTTACGCTATCAGTAGGTAAGTCAACTTGACGGAAATTCGGATTCGACAAACATTAGATGTTTTGTTGATCCTAGCAAGGGCGATTTTGTTTTTAGCTTCTTTAAAGATTAGCAGTTCTGCTTCGGCGGTCAGCAAAGTGTATGATGAATACACGCGAGATCTGTAGACTTTGTTTTGACAAGCCTTTGAAGAGCTAACTCTTTTTCATTCGACTTTTTGCCTTCCGTTGAAGACAGAAAGTTTTTTCAATGAGCAAAATCGCTTTCTACTGACAGTTTTCTTAATCTTGACGGAAGCGCTCTTGTTAACTCTTCGAGCATCCGATTCCAAACAAATCTCGCGAAATGAGAAAACATTCGTAGTGATCACTAGGATAAAACATTACTGAATGCTTAATGAACGTAAAATTGAGAAACTTTTTATCTTGTATTTCGTTCCATTCGCTGTTTCACCGCGGTAAAAATAAAAAAATCTTGTGAGGACTTATGTATGACCCAAGCTTATTTAAGCTTATAACCACGAACTCTCTCAGTAAAGCTTTATTCATATGGCCTATTGGTGAAGCTGAGTTCTATTTTGGGCTAAATTGAAGCCGCATCGCCCAATATAATGTACCCATAATTGTGGATTGGCTCGTATCACGAAACGAGAGTCGGCTTCGCAGGAAATTCTGCTTTTCTCATGTATTTTCATCAAAGATGTCTTTATCGGGTCAAATTTCTCGAAAACTGCTGCGACTAAAGTATGCTTGACGGCTAAATCCGTGTCGTACAGTTCCCAAATAGAGGGATTAACTTTTTTTAAGAATGCAAAATCCCTTTTCTTGAATACTAAACTGTTATTATTGACTTCAAAGTGCAGCTAAAACAGACCTGTTATGTTCGTGTGCTTGACGGCTTTTGGCCTCGGGCAATGCTTACTGCTTTGTACATTTCACCATAATTACTTGACTTTGTTTAATAAATTTCGAGAAGCAGTTGGTCTTGAAAAGTCTTAGCATCCTCGCAACTTGTCAAAGGCTATGTAGATTGACACTTTCAAAACATATTTTGGAGGCCTACTCCTTATATTTGAACTCAGACAGCAAAAAAGCGTCTTTGAAGGGTCTCTTAACCGATATTTCAACGCACGGTTTCTTTGCGTGCAAAACAGCTACGCGAGTCTGCATTCTTAGCAATAAGTCAATTTGCTTCAGGCTGCTAAAGGGCACATTCGAACTTTTGGACAATTTCCGGTCGCTCCATTATTACCACTTGTTATTCTTGACTTTTTGAGAGGCCAACTTGCCCATATAAAAGAGAGGCAAGTGTTAGGTGTTTGTTTGAAGGTATTAAAGATCTGTGAATGATACATGTACGTATAAGGTTAGACATTTAGGGTGCTCTGTTTGATGACCACTTTTTTTAAATTTCTTTTTATGAGATATCTCGTTAGCCATCTAATTTAGTAACACCCATAGTCAGTTTTCTAATCTGTCATCTTTGAATAAAGTCTATCATAGTGGCCCAAGACCTGATTGTTGCAGTGTCTTCAAAGCAAACAGTTCTTTATCACTTATTGTAGCTTGGTTGTATCACATGGCTAAATTGTTAGTTAATTTCAGTCGTATTTAAGCACATGTTTGTGAGCAAGCACTCATTTTAAAAACCACTTGTTGGTAGGAAATAAACTTAAATCAGGCCTGTTTCAAGCATTGTGCTACTGCCGTGCTAAGCTGGCTCGACTGTAGCTCGACTGTAGCACAACACGAGCACGACTTGGTGTCAGACGTCGAATTTAATTCAGTCGAATAGAATGGCTGTTGCCGAAAAGAAACCACAATAATAAAGAAACGGTTCAGCAAACTTTTAAATGTATTCTAATGCATTTGTAATCTATGAATTGAGTTCGGCACGGCAGTAGCACGACGTTTGAAACGGGCCTCAGACGTTGCTTGCAGGTTCATTTTATCTGCTTATCATACTAGTCAATCTTGATGCTCTCCATAAAGAGACACTAAGAAAATTGTTGAAGGCTTACCAACAATGAACTTTTAAGGCTGGTTTTCACTAGCGACTGAGTCAGATTGGGAGTCGTAAGTGGAGTCATAAGAGCACTTATGACCTGGTGAAAATCCAGAATAGGAGGCATAAACGGAGTCATAAGCACTATGCAATTGGAGTCAGAAGAATCAGAACGTTTCCATTTTTTCTGACTCCGCTTATAACTCCGTCGCCTACATTCCTCTTATGGTGAAAACCAGATTTTCGTAGTTGGAAGCAGAAGTGTAATCCCATGATGATAAACCAATCACACTGCACATTGCCATGCTTTGTGATTGGTTTAGTTCTTCCGCTTCTACTTGTGACTCCGATGACCCAGTTTTTACTTGATCGTAAACGACGGAGTCGTAAGTGGAATGAGAGTGCTGTTTTCACCAGATTGTAAAGTTCTACGCTTCTGATTATGACTTTGACTCTGTCACTAGTGAAAACCAACCTCAACAGGATATAGGCAGACTGTTAAAATGAACTAGACCTGGCTCATAGGTCAAACTTGACATGTACCAAGCCTGAAACCTATTTAGACGTGGACTGAACCTAATGCATGGCATAAATGAATACCATCTTTACTGCTTGAAATAGGAAAATCAACTAACAAAGTAGATTCAATAGGTTGGTCATTAAGTCCAAGAATCCCAGTTTTGTTTTGTGTTCTGTTATGGAAAAGTACAGTAACATGTTTTGCGTTCTTTATGAAACTTTGCTTATTCTCAATATCTCCTGATGTCAGAACACAGGACGCCGTTTTACGTATTTGCGTATTGATGTTGCCCAAAACTACAACTACATTAACATATTTTCCTTTCTTTCATTTTGATGTAGAGTCTTCTGCTTATAGTAACTGTACGGAAAGTCAACTAGCATTGTGTGAGAGTCAGTTTAATGAAAACAGCCTACCAGTTTGTGTTGAGGTGATTGAATTGAAAACTTGCCTCGCTGCCTGTGAAAATATCAAGGAACGGTCAAGCTGGAATGTATATACCAAATATGAAGCACTTGTGAGAAAAATGAATTCATACCCTGATTGTATTCCAGAAAGCAAAGGTAGATATGTCATTTTTTTTGTTTGTTATGGAGTTTTCAAACATAACATTGGCTTGTCATTTGTTTACTGTAACATGGATTAGTAATGGTAGAGAAGAGTATGTGAACTTGTCAGAGTCTAGATTAGATATGGTATCATAGAAAGAGGTTTGGGCCCTGCAGTTATGCCTTACTTAAGTTGGTTGTACATGATCTTATTGGTTAGTATACATTGTAGCCCTGGCCCTGGTTTTTCAAACACTGTATAGCACTATCCACAGGATAATAAATTGCTATCCAGCGGATAAATATTAGGGAAACCAACTGGGGCCTGAAGTAATCGTATTCAAAGTCCCAGAGATAACTTCACTACAGGTTTTGAAAACACAGATTACAGTTGCTAACAAAATTTTTCAGGGCTACAGTCTTGTTTAAAACTACCAGTAAGTTGATGGTTTTTTTCATCTCAATTCTCAATACTGGATTACTGTATCGCAAGAGTTATGAGAATCATTCAACAACAATTAAACCCATTGACAGTAGATGGGTGTGGGGAAGGTGCCTGGTGAAACCGAAAGGGCGCTGCAAGCAAGCCTGCAAGGTAACCATGACAACTCTGTGAGTGGTACCCACCAGGCACCATCACACTGAGAACCTCAGTGGAGGAATGCGCAGATACTTATTAAGGCAAACATCCAAAGGGGAGGGGAGGCTGTATGTATGACACATTTTACAAACAGTTTGATCGAAATGAGCAGTTTTCTCCTTTTGAATTTCATTTGGTTGGATTTAAGATCGGTGCTTGAGTCAATTCAGTCGGTCTAAATAATTTGGGTCATCCTTAATTTGAATTAGGTTTGGCTAATGCGATGTTTGGCATTTGAATTGGCCTCAAAGCGTTGATAGGGTCCTGTTGTAATGCCAGAAGTTGTCAATATTGTGCTTACGTTGCTGTTCTATTCTTTTCTCTCAACAGTTAGCAAAAAGAAATGTAATGAGGAATTTGTTAATAATTGCTATCAGCAGTATAATCATAATGCTACGCCGATATGTCCTGAAGTGAAAAAGCTACGAATGTGCATCAGTGAACTGACAGGTTGCCATGCCATGAAGCACCCAAAATTTGTACAGTCAAGGGATATACTTGAAAAGCATCGTGATTGTTTCTTTGTAAATTACTCAAGGATTCTGGAAGTCCTCAAAAACAAAGGTCAGTGCACTGTGGTCTCAGCAACTCTCTTTGCTTCTGACAGGAAAAAATCCTGCAAAGGTTTTAGTTTATGACCCTTTAAGAGGGTTCTCAACAGACGTTTCACCTATTTTGGGGGTGTTCTAGTTATTTTGTGTGTACTTTGTTTGTACTTCCATATCTTACCAAATACATGCCATGGGAATGAAACAAAACAGCTAAAATGCCATATCTTTTAGTACCCTCCCTAAATGGTAGAAATGATGGTCTTAACACATTCACACATTAGCCACCTGTAACCATCTGCGTGTCAGAACTATGTCCCTCGTACACAGAATCTGCCCAAACTGGACTTTTTTTTAGCAGACCAGTCAGTGTTGCTCAGTAATTCATGGGATAACCAAAGTAGCAGTCAGAAAGTGCCTACATGTGGTGTTTATTATTTTGTTATTTTTGTTGACTTGATGGCAGATGCTCCACTGGAAGCAGCAAATGTGTTGGCTGTTGGCCTATTTTGGCTGGCTGTAATTTTATTAGTTACTGGAGAACTTTTTGTTGGTATACTTATTCTTATTTTTATCTTAAATTAGATGACAAAGAGCAGTCAGACAAACCTCCCCAACAATCCAGTACTAAAAAAACAGGTAAGGAAAAATGTTTTATAGATAATTGAAACCACAAAAAAGGTTTAAAGGTTAGATAACAAGTTTCTTACTTTTTGCTGACTTTGTTTTGCTAGTGTTGGTATATATTTTTAGAGCCACTTAAGCTATATTTCTTCCAGTTTCTGTGGCACTAAATGCTGATTCGTTACTGCACCTAACATATCAGACATAAATGCACTGGTAACCATTGTCATAACTTCAGCTTGACTTGTAAAATGTACTGTTTAAAAGTCTAGCAGGTGTGTATTAGTTTTTTTAAACCTGATAATACACGACTGCGAGTTTTTTGAATGGCTTCAAGATCTCTGTATACATATTTTAATTGTATATATATACATTTTTTAATGTCTTATTTTGAAATAATTTTTTTTTGTTTTGTCCCCAAATAGTTATGAAAACTAAAAATACACTGACACATTAATACAGCTTTCACTTTCACCTACTTACTTACTTTAATACTGTAGTGATATAGATCAACTTGTTCTTGCACTGATATTTAGATATGGGGTTATTTTGGTCTAAAAAATTGGATGTAAAGTTTAGCCGTGTCTTTATCAGATATAAAGACACTCATAAAACATCAAATTTCTTTTGTTTTTCTTTATGAATTATTAATGAGTTTTTAAAGTTATAATAATGAGGATGCCTATTAAATGTCATGAGCCTCATAGTTTACTTTATAGTCTTCCTTGCCACTGTTACCATCTTTCCTTTTTGTCTGTTTTTATAAATATTTTTTATCATTAGCTTGTATATGTTATGTTAGTATATACACACTTAGTGATCTTGATGATTTAAGCTATCTGATTGGTTTGCTATCTCAGACTGTTCAACAGTATTCACGTCCTGCATGTTTCTTTCAAAATAAAGTGATGTTTCTGCAAAGGATTGTTCTAATTTATGATGAACCTCCTTTAAGTGGCCACTTGCCTGTACTCCCAGAATGGCTGCTTAATGGAGGTACCAACATAAAGCAATTAAACCATAAAAATGCAGTTACTAATGAGCACAAAATTTAGTTTTTACATCTAAGTAGAAGTTAATGTTGTCAGAGTCCAAGAATTGTTTTTGTTTATTTCATAGAAGTATTGATGTCAGTTCGAACAACAAAAACATCAACTTCAGAAAAACCTTCTGAGAGTGAACCAGAACAACAAAGTGGACATCTTCCTTACACATTTGTTGTGGTGGCAACAGTTTGCACATGTATGTTTTTGGTGGTTCTTGTAGTCTTCAGTATTGTGCGGCATACGACACTTTCGAAACGTCAAAGGAACTCGTCTATAGAAAGAGCTCCTATGAGAATACGTATTAGATCACATAGCCCCAGTCACAGAACTAGACATCATCGGCATCGTCGCAGTAGTAGAGGCCATGTTGTGATGCATGGTGCAGTGAGACAAACTGTTTCAGGATTTTTCGAGGGCAATGTTGCTCCTCCACCTTATAGCGCGGTACTGGACGATACTGAGAGTGTAAGAGCGGGTGATCCGCCACCCCCATATCGACCACCTTCACACATTGGTGTCATTGTATAAAGTGAGCAGGATAAATCATGATCTGTGGAAAATTATTCTGTTCTGTTTCTCTGGATACATGAACTTCACGTGCAGAGTGCCAACATATGCAACCATTCGTGTTTTACCGACTTTGGACAATAATGGACTTGATTGCTGGCTAACATGCGGAGCATCAGACTGGAAAAGTCAAAGAGGCAGATTGGTTCTTTACTATATGAAAATGTTCAGATTTTATAATACCTGTATATAGAAATCATTTTAATGAAGTGTATTGACAAAGAATTCAGTTAGAGCATTTTGTCTAGGTTATCCTTATTTCTTCAATATCATATTACAAGACATTCATTCTCTTAAAACCATCATTATGTTGCTTCAAAATCACATTAACTTTACTGTATGAATAACACGATTATCTAAAATCTTGATATGGTGATATTGATTAACAGGCTGAGGAACTTAACCATTCTGTGGTCGAGTGTCACAAATTCTGCATTTTTGTTGTTGTTCTTTGTTTGTTTACCTGACAAAATCTATTTATGCGCTGAAAGTTAAATTACATAAGGTAAATCCAAGATAAAAAAGGGAAGCCAGATGATTTTTCATTTTACATCTTGTGCAGAATGACAGATCTTGATTTCAGATGATTTTGTGGAGTCTCTGAATTTTGAAACATGATCATATTAACAGGAGAGGGTATTAGCACAACAGCCCTTAAGTATCTGTAAAATGTCAGTGCACCACTGTGACCAGAGGATGGTTCTGTACCCAGCCTTTCTATTTTTTCAGGATTCACCGCAAAGAAGCTTATTTTTCCTTTTTTTTTCGAAATTTGAAGCCTGAGAATGCAAGAGATTATTGTAATCAGAGAGTTGAGAATCGGGCTACTGTTGCAAAGTCTGTGTCTAGTTCCTGTTTTCTCCAGAAACACAAAGGGCTCTCTGTGGCATTGTGTTCGGCAGAAACCAGTCATTCTGCAAGTTCCTGTGCCAAAAAAAAAATGCATTGCATTTGTACTAATAACAAAGCCCTTTCACTAGTTCTACTCACAAACACACTATCATTATAATTTTGATGGTTGATGCCTTTTTGCAAAGCATTTCCTACCTTCGAGTACTGCCTTATTTTCTTCAGGGTTAGTAAAAGATGGAGCAAAATAAGTGAGTACACGAGATAATCGCTCGCTACCCTCGAACAGATTACATACGTGAGAAAATGAGGACTACTCGTAGTCTTTGAGAGGAAGTTCTTGTCACAAGAGCCCATATAACCATTGAATAAACAGGAAGGGGATAGCATCCTCGTTCCCAGGTTCTCTCTCCTACCTGTATCTCTCGCTCTGTAGGGACGGGTAGGAGAGAACCCTGGGAACGAGGTTTGACGGGGTAGGTCAATTTCAAACTGCTGAAAACACTCACATCTAAAATTCGGCCAAGTTTGAAGAGTGGATTTATTTGCATGAGAGTGAAAAGTATCTTTAGATGGCTATTTCAAGAAAGGTTGTCAGAAAAAAAATGTGCACACGACAATCCTGAAAGGTAATATGGGATATGATCAATACACTGTTCCTAACACTAGCTGTTGAACCTACTTTTGTTGCTTTCCTTTCATCTAGCACTCGCAAACATAAGTCCATGGCCTCTCCTGCCACTCTTTCAGATTTCTCTGTAGAACAGTAAACTCAAAACCACCCACAATACCTTTCAGGATTGTTGCTTGCCTTTTTTCCGACAACCTTTCTATCTAGCCGGATTTTTTAACACTTTACCGCCAAATAGACCTCTTCCGAAGAATGCAACCATTGCTTTTTTTTCTGGTCTCCTCTTTTCTTCCTCCTCACTCTCTCTACTTTCCTTTGCTAGTGTGATTTTCAAGCTTATTGGGGGCAAAGAAAAGTGTGCTTAGCCCCTTTTCACCCAAATGGCTGCAAATTTCGCTGGGTTCGTTTCCAAAAATTGGCTGGATATACTTAGCACTTACGATGGCAGCAACTTGAAAATAGCTAATTGGAAAAAAGGAACCTTTCGTCTCTCTCTTCCTAGGGCGCCTTAGTACGGTATTAAAAAAACCTGTATTAAATCAGGGTTCTATCTAGGGTTTAGGCCATTTGCACGATGGCGTCATTTTACTACTACGACCAGAATTCTTTTCGTTTTTCTTTTCATATTTAAATTTGGTAGCCCCAGTGAGGTTTAAATAACAAAAGCCGTAATTTGAACAAGAAAGCAAAACCCTGAAGGATCCTGGTCATAGTAGTAAAAGGACGCCATCATACAAATGGCCTATTGAAGGGGTAGAAGTTTTCCCCTCAAAATGCTTAGCTTCCCCCCTCCCCCCCCCCCAAATAAATTGTTATCATTACAGCGTATGAGTAACTATATCGGAAAAATCATCCAGACGCGACGAGGTCAGTGCACACACTGTAACATTTCTCAAAATTGTGTCTCAAAATGAAATTTCCGGGGGGTGAATACCCCCGGACCCCCCTAGGAAGATCGTCGCCTTCGCCCACTCGGGACTTCTCCCCCAGACGATAAATCTTGGATAGAACCCTGTAAGTAGTCATCTTGGTACAGGTTTAGCATTACACTATTTTCGGCAACGAAAGAGCACTTGATTGGGAGGAAGACAGGGCCAAATATTTAGACGTAGTTTAATTAGCCGCGTTATTTAAGTCATTTCAATTTGTCCAACGATGTTATCTAAATATCATTTATTGTGAACAGTTTTATGAAAGCATTTAGAGAAGACTTGAAAAGCATATATATTCTTAAAACAAACCACTAAAGAAGAGATCTGGGGCTTCAATGATTCGTTAAACCGCGGCTCAAGTTAGACTTCGTTTAAATATTTGGCCCATAGAATTTGAAAATGAAAGCATAAATCCCTGAAGTGAACAGTTAAAGTACACGTGTTGTAGTACAGGTTCTTCATTCCAAGATGAACAATGAAATAAAAAATATATATATGATAAACACCTTATAAATTGGTTGCTCAGGTACATAAATGTGTTTGTATTATACGGATGAGAAGCATCACTATGCACTTGACTGGCTTAAATAGAAATCTAATCCATGGATTAAGACCAAGTTGTTCAAAAGGCGGATGATGTTATCCACCGGATAAATCTTAATCCAATGGGTAATGAAATATTTGTCTTCTTAATACTTATCTACTGGAGAGGGATTTATCCGGTGAATAGCGTTATATCCTTTTCTAGTGCTTTTCCAATAAATTGCTTTGATCAGTAAAAAAAAAAAAAAGGACGAGGCCACCAAAAGCAGTGCTTCTTCCGCAGCCTCCACTATAGCAAGGAAAACTGACAGACTGCCGGACATAAATTACAAAGGAGTGTTATGCGCAGTTTCTGCAGAGAATGGATCGTTCGTACAACATAGTTTGGTCGTCGTAACTATACGTGGTCGCGATCGTCCGTAAGGTTGTGGGGCAGGAAATTAGTGAAAACACAATAAAACTTTTTATTACTTGTAAGGCGTTAATTTTGTAATAGATATTTGATGGTCGTTTTTGAACTGATTTGTTATGATCACACACTTACGAGAAAGGATAACAGGACATTTTGATGCGCAAAGCATGGATGATAACGATGAAAAGGGAATGGAGCAAGACACGTATTCATAGGGATGTTCGAGTGTAGATGTAGAAAGAAATAGAGGAACGACGACGTAACCTAACTAAGATGACGAGGTCGTCGCAATGTTAGCCGCGGCCCGATGCTTAAGAGCTGACTCCGAGGAACTTGCCGCTCCGTTCGTCTGAAATTAAAGTGTCTAACAATTGAAGGAGCGATTGTTGTAAAGCTTGACTGCATACTCGAGAGAGTGTGTCTAGGTTAGAGTAAGAAGCAGTCGAAGAGAATGTAAGGATGTGACGAGGATTTGAATAAACAAGGACTTTTACCATCATTAAATACAACACAATTTTATTCTTTTTCTAAATATCTCTATAGGCCAGAATTACTCCAAAACAGAGTATATTATTTTACCCATTAATGGTAAACTATCCATACGATTTACCAGTCAGTACTAATTAGAATAACTGTTATTGTCCAATACAGTTACCACAACTCATCCTCACATGGGGAAAGGGACTGATGATGACGATGATGGTGATGATGACGATGACGATGATCGTGGTGGTGGTGGTGGTGAGGGTCGCCGTGCTGCTGCTGATGATGATAATAGTAATAATAATGACAATTATGATACTGATGATGATTCGTACCTTCTACACTACAAAGAGTCAGAGTGAAGCTGTATCTACAACAGTGCTTCCCGGAGATTTCTCAACTGCAGGAAATGGTTTGACTTGGCTACACCAATTGTTTGCTTGCAAAACCAGTGATAATTTTGTTACATTGCCAGCAAAACTGTGGCCACATTGGCGACAAATTTTGGTAACAAAAAGACGCAATCAGGACCAAGCAGTCACACAAACACTACGTAAGCACACTTATGGAAAACTTGGTCCCTGGTAAACTTGATTTATTTCTGATCAGTGGCTAATTAATAAACATTTGTATGACTCCACGAGGAAACAGGTTTAGGTCTCAGTGGGCCACATTTGTTAATTTCAAGACAACAACTGTCTGCCTTGATACATTATGACCACTGTTATGACCGTCTATTCTACTGTAACGTCCCCCAAAACTAAATATTATCATCAATATTGAATTACACGATCTCCTTAATATATTATCCTTCTAGGAGACCTGGAATATCCCAGTTCTCAAATATGAGTTAAAACTTTCCTAATTTAGTTAAATCACTGCTGAAGCGGAAGCAGGAATATATCAGACATCGATCTTTGGCCTACAATGAGACCAAATTGTTCTAGAAAAAGCTACCACTTTCTTAGTCATCGTCGCTCGAGCTTTCACCAGCAGTTCCTGCTAAAAAGCAGCCCAGACCCATACTTCTCCTTCCAAGACCAAATCCTGCACTGGCAAGATCTTTACTAGGATCGATAACTTTGAAGTCTTTGCTTTTGTCTTGGGTGTTCAAATCATTCCTCTGTGTGTACCTGAATGGTAGGAGAGGACCTCGCCGCACTGTCGAGTTAGGTCTCATTGGGCCCTCCCTGCTCATGAACAAGGCATTTTTGGGAGTTCTATAGAGCATGCCTTTCCCTGAAAAACCATTGGCAAGAGAGTGAAATGTTCTGGTGCCAAAAGGGCTTAATCCTGAACCATTTCTTGTTCCATTTGCTGTTGCACCACAACCGGTCTTAGATGATGCATCTGTTTCACATTTCTTATTCTCATAACCACTTGTTACCACTTTGTCTTTCTGAACCCCTTCTTTCGTTTTGCCAATACTTTTGGCAAGCTGATCAGAAGCACTCTGTTCACATGAGTACTCATACTCGACACGTGATCCTTCCATTTGTCACTAGCAGTGGTTATTGTAGTGTCCATTGAATCAGACCATCCCAAGAGGTTTACCAGTTTCTTTACTCCCTCAACAACGTCTCCTTGTAGGACAACGTCATTGGATCTTCTCTCCCAGCGTCGCAAGAAAGGTCCTACGATCTCTCGGTTTAGAAGAAGACGTGGTGTGGAGTGATCCACTGCACTTGCTATCCCTGCAAATGGCTCCACCTGATGAAAAAAGAAAGGTCATATATACATACACTGTTTACAGGTTGTCATTACGACTCCTGAAGGAGGGTCATGAGGTTATCCCTACATTAAGGTCTCTCCTTATATTACAGATAACACACCCAGCCTAGGAAAGGTTGGCCACACCTCCGGGGTCTACGTCCCCTACTCTTTTCGAACAGTGGTGTGGGTTCTTTTACATCCCACAAGAACCACATAAGTGACAGTGCAAATTGCAATGCACTGACTAGTCTGAAATGTCAGCTCTCTCCACCCCTTAACCCGTGGAGTGGTCTCAACAACTGCCTTTGCTTCTGACAGGAAAAAATTCTCCAAAGGTTTTGGTTTATGACCATGTACACAGGAAAAAATAACGGATTCCCATTTTTGGGTATTTAAAGAATACCCACAAAAATCCCAAATTTGGAAGAGTGAGACAAGTCCCAATCTGGGAACTTGGTTGGGAATTCCCTGGTTGGGACTTGTCTCACTTTGCCAAATTTGGGATTTTTATAGGTATTCTTTAAATACCCCAAAATATCCAAAAATGGGAATCCGTTATTTTTTCCTGTGGTAAGAGGGTTCTCAACAGACATCGCACTTATTTTGGGAGAGTTCTAGTTATTATGTGTGTACTTTCTTTGTACTTCCCTATCTTACCAAATACATGGGAATGAAACAAAACAGGTAAAATGCCATATCTTTTAGTACCCTCCCTAAATGTTAGAAATGATGGTCTTAACACATTCGTGCAACACATTAGCCACCTGTTAACCATCTGCATGCCAGAACTATGTCCCTCATACCAGACACAGAATCTGCCCAAAGTGGACTGTTTTTAACAGACCAGTCAGTGTTGCTCAGTAATTGGTGGGATAACCAAAGTAGCGGTCAGAAAGTGCCTACATGTGGTGTTTATTATTTTGTTATTTTTGTTGAATAGATGGCAGATGTTCCACTGGAAGCAGCAAATGTGTTGGCTGTTGGCCTATTTTGGCTGGCTGTAATTTTATTAGTTACTGGAGAACTTTTGTTTGTATACTTATTCTTATTTTTATCTTAAATTAGATGAGAAAGAGCAGTCAGACAAACCTCCCCAACAATCCAGTACTAAAAAAACTGGTAAGGAAAAATGTTTTATAGATAATTGAAACCACAAAAAAGGTTTAAAGGTTAAATAACAAGTTTCTTACGTTGTGCTGAGTTTGTATTGCTGGTGTTGGTATATATTTTTGGAGCCACTTAAGCTATATTTCTTCCAGTTTCAGTATGGCACTAAATGCTGATTCGTTACTGCACCTAGCATATCAGATATAAGTGCACTGGGAACCGTTGTCATAACTTCAGCTTGACTTGTAAAATGTACTGTTTAAAAAGCTAGCAGATGATGAGTGTTAGAGTTTTTAAACCTGATAAATTATACATGACTGTGAGTTTTTGAATGGCTTCAAGATCTTTGTATACATATTTTAATTGTATATCCTTTTTTTATGTCCAATTTGTAAATAATTTTAATGTTTTTTTGTTTTATCCCAAACTAGTTATGAAAACTAAATACACTGACACATTAATAAAGCTACTTTCACCTTCTTACTTACTTACTTACTTACTTACTTACTTACTTACTTACTTACTTACTTACTTACTTACTTACTTACTTTAATACTGTAGTGATATTGATTAACCTATTCTTGCACTGATATTTAGATCTGGGGTTATTTTGGTCTAAAAAATTGGATGTAAAGTTAACAGCCATGCCTTTATGAGATATAAAGACACTCATAAGCTATCTCGGACTTTTCAACAGTATTCACCTTCTGCATGTTTCTTTCAAAATAAAGTGATGTTTCTGCAAAGGATTGTTCTAATTTATGAGGAACCTCCTTTGAGCGGCCACTTGCCTGTACTCCCAGAATGGCTTCTTAATGGAGGTACCAACATGAAGCAATTAAACCATAAAAATGCAGTTGCTAATGAGCACAAAATCTAGTCTTTACATCTGAGTAGTAAAAAAAAAAAAAAGGACGAGGCCACCAAAAGCAGTGCTTCTTCCGCAGCCTCCACTATAGCAAGGAAAACTGACAGACTGCCGGACATAAATTACAAAGGAGTGTTATGCGCAGTTTCTGCAGAGAGTGGATCGTTCCTACAACATAGTTTGGTCGTCGTAACTATACGTGGTCGCGATCGTTCGTAAGGTTGTGGGGCAGGAAATTAGTGAAAACACAATAAAACTTTTTATTACTTGTAAGGCGTTAATTTTGTAATAGATATTTGATGGTCGTTTATGATCACACACTTACGAGAAAGGATAACAGGGCATTTTGATGCGCAAAGCATGGATGATAACGATGAAAAGGGAATGGAGCAAGACACGTATTCATAGGGATGTTCGAGTGTACATGTGGAAAGAAATAAAGGAACGAAGACGTAACCTAACTTAGATGACGAGGTCGTTGCAATGTTTGCCGGGCCCGATGCTTAAGAGCTGTCCGAGGAACTTGCCACTCCGTTCGTCTGAAATTAAAGTGTCTAACAATTGCAGGAGCGATTGTTGTAAAGCTTGACTGCATACTTGAGAGAGTGTGTCTAGGTTAGAGTAAGAAGCAGTCGAAGAGAATGTAAGGATGTGACGAGGATTTGAATAAACAAGGACTTTTACCATCATTAAATACAACACAATTTTATTTTTTTTCTAAATATCTCTATAGGCCAGAATTACTCCAAAACAGAGTATATTATTTTACCCATTAATGGTAAACTATCCATACGATTTACCAGCCAGTACTAATTAGAATAACTGTTATTGTGCATTACAGTTACCACAACTCATCCTCACATGGGGAAAGGGACTGATGATGACGATGATGGTGATGATGACGATGACGATGATCGTGGTGTTGAGGGTCGCCGTGCTTCTGCTGATGATGATAATAGTAATAATAATGACAATTATGATACTGATGATGATTCGTACCTTCTACACTACAAAGAAACCGAGTGAAGCTGTATCTACAACAGTGCTTCCCTGAGATTTCTCAACTGCAGGAAATGGTTTGACTTGGCTACACCAATTGTTTGCTTGCAAAACCAGTGATAATTTTGTTACATTGCCAGCATAACTGTGGCCACATTGCCGACAAATTTTGGTAACAAAAAGACGCAATCAGGACCAAGCAGTCACACAAACACTACGTAAGCACACGGTTATGGAAAACTTGGTCCCTGGTAAACTTGATTTATTTCTGATCAGTGGCTAATTAATAAACATTTGTATGACTCCACGAGGAAACAGGTTTAGGTCTCAGTGGGCCACATTTGTTAATTTCAAGACAACAACTGTCTGCCTTGATACATTATGACCACTGTTATGACCGTCTATTCTACTGTAACGTCCCCCAAAACTAAATATTATCATCAATATTGAATTACACGATCTCCTTAATATATTATCCTTCTAGGAGACCTGGAATATCCCAGTTCTCAAATATGAGTTAAAACTTTCCTAATTTAGTTAAATCACTGCTGAAGCGGAAGCAGGAATATATCAGACATCGATCTTTGGCCTACAA